AAAGAGCAAATAATTAAGCTAAAAATCATATAAAAGAGTCAAAAAAATCCGATTTCAAAAACACTAGATGGTTCGATTAAAACAAAGCCCTCGATATGCTCAACGTTTTTCTCTGAAGGACTAATGTGAGGAAACTCACGGATTAAGAGTATTTAGAGCTAAAATTCAAGAACTAGAGAGAGAGAGAATAGATCTAGGGTTTTGGAATGTTTAGAGGGAGAAATAGATGAAAAAGTTATTAAAAAAGGCTGTCTCTCAGATTGATATACGCACAGACTACTTGAGCGAATGAATGGTCGCTCGGGCGATAGACACAAAATGAAGAAACTGCTCGAGTGACCAAAACCACTGCACGAACGACCAAAAGCACCACTCAAGCGCACAATAACCCCCTTCTAGTAGTTTCAAACCTACAAAAGTTAGCTTGAGTGCAAGAAAGACAACTCGAGTGAAGAATTCAAACTCTCAATAGTTTTGCAGACTACAAAAGACCGCTTGAGCGTAAGAATGGTCGCTTGAGCGAACAAGGAAAATTATGGACAACGCTTTGAAAAACTAACTTCCAAACCTGTTTCAATCACAACCAAAACTTCTAGTAGCCAAACTCAACAAATAAAATATGAAAATGAGCTGAACAATAGTTAAATACACAGGTTCACGGATCCAAAAGCAACAAATGGGTTGGTTCTAAACCAGAATCATTAAATTCGGCCTCTTTTTTCTTCTCTCTCTTTTCACCCGCCTCAAATCCAGATCTGGACTTTGTCATAGTCGAGGCCGTGCTATTGCCATCTTCGCCGTTGTAACTTTCACCATCGCCATATAGTTTTAAGGTATAACTTGTGTGTGATGGCGATCTGGAAGCGAGAAAGCTCAATTTTAGATCTGCGTTGTCCTAAACCATAATCTAAATTGGATTCTCTGATCTCGAAGCTCCTGTGTCTTCTCTCTCTTCTTCCAAATCAAGGTACAGATCTGATCTCATAACTATAGTGTAGATATGGCTTTGTGTTCTATGGATCTTCCATATTGCAAAGAAATGTCCAGGTATAAAGTTACATACGAATGCAGAAGATGATTCCAATGAACTAGTCTTTGGTGCTTCAATTTTTTTTACTAGTGCTTCAATTTTTTTGTAGTTCCTTTTTGTTGTTGTTGTTGTTTAGGATTTAGTTGTTGTTGTTTATTATGATGAATATGTGGTGTTGCGTGATGATAATGAATCTGTGGTAATTATCTATTGGCTCTATTTATTTATTTTTATTTTTTTTTATAATGAAAAATAGATTGCAAATGGATAAATAAACCAAAAAAAAAAAATCTTATTTGAATAGATAAAAAAATTAAACAGATAAGAGAGAAAGATAAGAGATTGATATAAAAAAAATTGAACGGATAAAGAATAAATTTGGTTCAGCTTGGTATTTCAATAGATAGAAAAAAAAATGAATAGATAATAAAATTTACACAAATAAGGAAAAAAATTGAACAGATAGAAATTTTTTTGAACCTATAGAGAAAAAATTTGAACAAATAGGATATATTTTGAACAAATAAGAAATTTTTTTGAACAGATAGGAAAAAAATTTGAACAGATAGTCAACAAAAGTCAATAGATAAATTATGGGGTAAAATTGAAAACAAAATGTCCTTCAAAACTAATAAAAATACTTCTCATCAAACTATTTCACAAAAGGTGGACTTTTTACTAACAAAAAATATCTACTAATCTAATGCCTTATATCTTCTTTAACTCAGACTTTTCAACCATTTTCTCTTTCTTTTTAAATATAAGGTAAATTATACTGACACCCCTTGAGGTTTGGTCCAATTGCATTCCACCCCCTGACGTTCTGAAAATTACATTCTCACACTTATGATTAATAGTCTCATTTCACAAATCATCTTACTTATATAAAAGACAACAATTCCTAACAGAAAAATAGAGAAAATTACATTAAAAAAAAAGTAAAGCAAAAAAAAAAAAGAAAAAGAAAAAAAGAAAAGAAACTTAAGTAATGTAAGAAAAAAGAGAGTATATGGATTCAATATTTTCATTTCGTCTAAATAATTACAATAGCAGGGGGTTAGTATAATTTTCCAAATATCAAAGATGATATGTATTAAACTCAAATCTCAAGGGGTGTAAGTATAATTTATCCTTAAATATAAGATGCATGGATACACACCTCTAGTCTTTCCAAGTTATTAACCTTGTTTGGCTATAGGTTACTTGGCTAAAATAGTTAATAAAGATAAAATAGACTAAAATATCACATTTAAATCATAATCATTTTATTTTTTCACTAACAATCATTAAATCAATTATTAAAAAACAAAAAAAAAAAACTATCATTCTAAACATAAAACTTTGAATAATGCTAGAGATATCAAATGTTTTACCAAATATTTTACTAAATGTCTCACATAAATGTGAGACTCATAAGACTCACATGGCGTGAGTCTCACACCCATATAAAATCTTTAGTAAAAAATATAATAAAACATTTAAAATTTGTAGCATTTTTCTAAACTTTTTAATCAAACTAAAATAACTGTTGTGGCAAATAGTCAATTTCCAAACGGGAGACTCTATCGATCATGAATTCATCTAATAATTATTAGCATAATTACCCGTGAATAAATAATCAAAAAGTAATTATTAAAATTAAATAATAATCTAAAAAAATTATCTAAAATATTTAGTAAAATTAATTTAGAATCAATTAAATTTTAGTCATTTTTATCACAGTTACATAAAAGAGATTTTTTTTTTATATTCTTATATCATTAATTATGTGCTCTAAGTTCTTAATAACAAATACATGTCATAATTTAATTGGTAAAAATTAAAAAATAAATCACAAAAATTATATTTATGATAAAATATAATACATTTCATCTTATGAGTTTTGTAAATTTAATTTATCATATGATAGTAGTAAATTACATTTGTCAATATATTAATTTTTTCATATTTTGTAAAGTCTAAAAATTTGTCTAGCATCAAAATTATAATTTATCTTATGTTATAAGATTTACGTAAAAATATATTAGAATTCACTTGTAATATCAAATTTAAGCTTAACATTAGATTTACGCCAACTTGTCCTTCATCTAATCATTAAACATTATCTTTGTCTATTCCCAATTTATATAAATCATTTGACCTATCTATTTATTAAATCAGTAAATAGATATTTGTAAGTATTTTTTATAATAATTAAAATTTTTGAACTTAGTTAAAAAAAAAACTATATATTTATGTTAGTTATATATATATATATATTTATGGATGAAAAAATTATCTAAGATAGAGCTACCTTAAATTGTAGATTATATTCTAGTCTTAATAAATTTAAATTTTATCATAACTTATCAATTCGTGATTGATGTGAGCAATTTGGAGGGTTTTAATATTGAATTAACACTAAAAAGTAGTTAAGAAAATTTAGTTCAAGTCGATTTTTTTGCTAATAATTCTTGATTTAAGTCTAGTCCTTGGAGAATTATCTAGTTCATGTCCAATCCATCAGTTAGTAGACCCATTTATTTATTTAATTTTTAATTAGTAAATGTATATATTTTTTAAAAATATAACAAAAATAGGAATTATGCACATATTTGTTTGGTATATTTATTAACAATTTTAAAATTAATTAAGAAATTATGTAGTTATTCTTAAAAGAATAAATTACATTGGTAGTCCTTATATTTTAACTCTTGCGTTATTTTTTTCCTTACAATTTTAATTTACTCAATTTTAATCCTGAATTTATAATTTTATCTCAATTTGGTCCAATTGTTATAATTGCTAGTGTTTTTTATTTTATTATTGAAAATACACACATGAGTAGTATCTGTTCTAATTTTATAGATAAAATTATAAATTTGTTCAACTCAGTAAGTTAATGTCAACCAACTCAATAACTATTTTATTTAAAAAACCTTAACCGATATTATCAATTGAACCAAATTGATACAAAATCTAAAATTAATAGTTAAAATCAAGCTAATTAAAATTACAGAGATCGACTTGACATAAGAGACAAAATGCGAGGACTATCGATATAATTTACGTTTCTTAAAATATGTCTAATATTGATTGTATCAATATTAAGATATATTTATATCTAAAAAATTATTTAAAACCAGATCAGGCTAGAACTTGAATAAAAAATTGATGACTTATTAAAAACATTTAATAATTATAAATTTAAATTTGATAAATTTTCCATTTAATTTTTTTCGTAATAGAATTAGGTTGTTTGATAATTATAATTTATATTTTCAATTTTTCTTTGTATTTTTATAAAAATATTTTAAAATTATATATAATTATAATTTCTTTTAGAACTTTCCTTTTCAATCTCAAATTAGTTATAACTTGAATTTTATATAATTTATTTTTGACTTCTCATCTACAAAAACTAACAATGAACACAAATTGTTTTTTGAACATTGTAAAAAATAAATAAAGAAATATATTATCAATAATAATAATAACAAAACATATTTTTATTTATTATGTGATATCTCACCACTACATTGATAATAGACATTAATAATAAAACTCATTACAATAATACAGTAATAATATATCATATAATAAATAACATGTGATCACAATAATTTTTGATAGTTATACAAAAGTATCCAAAATGATATATAAAAAACAATATATGATCCATATTCAATTTTTATATAGTAAAATTCACACTTAATCTCAACCATACATCAGTTTTTCAAATCAATTTATTACTTAAACTATCTATTATTCTTTTAAGTAATATTCACCTTTTCAAAATTCACCCACACAATACTTTGACCGAGCTTATCATTATTCTTGTTGTTGTCATGCTCACTACCTCTACTAATCATTATGCAATTCCGGTATAGTTTTTTTTATCTTTGCAAATTTTCAAAAAACCAATGTTGGGGAAATAAAAGAAGGCATTGTTACAGTTTTAAAGAGTTAAAAATAAAAAATGAAAAAAAATGTGTGCTTTTAATTTTTCTTATTCCATATGTGGGTGATATTTTTGGTTTCTCTCACTCTCACTCTCACTCTCTCTATTTCCTGTTTCTAGGTTTTGATTTCACATTTGTAGGGTTTTCAATTGATTCCAGGTCACAGCGGGCGATACTTTGTATATAGCTGCGAAGACATTCGAAGAATTGAATCTGTCTGCTGACTTGTTGAAGGGTTTATATGTGGAGATGAAGTTTAGAGGCCGAGTAAGATCCAGACGATGAGTTTGCGTATGATTCTGACCCCTCCTTACAAGCACTTGATCGCTCAGGCACACAATGGTTCTGGCAAGACTACTTGTTTCGTGCTTGGCATGTTGAGCCGTGTTGATCCCAAACTCACTGCTCCTCAGGCGCTCTGTATCTGCCCTACCCGAGAATTGGCGATCCAGGTTCGTTAACATATGCAAATATGTACATAATTTCTATTTGTTGATGTTTACAAGTATCTGAATGTTTGAACTCTGTTTAATATATATATATTTTTGGCATGTGAATTTGATTTTAATTAATTTGGGTTGGGATTTCAGAGTTTTAATCATATTTATTTATCCCTTTATGTATATTTTGTTCTCTTTTGATCCTTGAAGTGTCTTTGTGAATTCAGGGTTCCCGTCAACCTTTGGATAGGGAAAGGGATCATGTATTATTTGGATAAGGAATGGGAAAATCTGAGGAAAATGTTAATGAAATATAAGCTCAATTTTTTGGATTTTAGGCTTCATTTGGCAAATGGGTTTGTAACCAAAAAGCGAAATATCACTCTCTCTACTTTCTGCACACCTTTTCATAAAAAGCCAAAAAATCAACTAAAATAGCCAATTGCCAAACGGGGAAAGTGTGGGAGTGTGTGGTTTCTTTGGGTTGATTGTGGGTGTTTAAGTTTTGTTGGTTGGGTTCGCTGTGGTGATTTTATTTATTGATTTGGCTGCTAGTCTATGTAGTTATGTATTTGTTATGTTCTGTTCTGCAATGTTTGTGAAACTAAGGATGAATTAATGATATATGGTTCTCTGGTGGGTTTAAAGATTAGTGTTCTTTAACATATAGTTTAATATTTAATCAACGGTAGCAAGTGGAACATGTGTACACATTTTGTTGGGACTTTTCTCTAAAGTGTTTGTGAGTTTAGGATTTAACTAATAGTAGTGGATGACAATGATGCAGAACATGGAAGTTCTTAAGAAGATGGGGAATTATACAGGAATTACTTCTGAATGTGCTATACCAATGGATAGCAGCAATTATGTTCCAATTTCAAAACGAGCACCAGTGACAGCACAAGTAGTGATTGGCACTCCTGGTACAATCAATAAATGGGTGACAGCAAAGAAATTGAGCACGAACTATTTGAAGATTCTTGTTTTTGATGAAGCTGACCACATGTTGGCAGAGGTACTATCATACCTCTTATTGAGATTATGTATGTTTTATGTGCTTATGGTAAAACCCAAAAATTAGTGGCTTACTGTATCTAAATTTTTTGATATCGTTTTCCTTGCTATGCTGCTTTTGTGGTGACTATATGGTGACTTTCTCAATTCTAACATGTATGCCAACTTTTGTGATTTACTACTTCTTTCATACCCAAAATTAGATATCGTGGAGGACCCTAATATTGTCTTTCATTGGAAAAGAAACAGAGTCAGAATGAGGAAATGGGGTGATTTAGATTTATCACATCTATCCAAGAGTGTCAGCGTTTGAATTTGACATCCGACTGTTGATAACTTCTGATTAACATGTATTTGTGCTTTATTGTCTACGTGATTGTGGTATTTGATGATATCTCCTCAATCTCTAAGCTATTACCTGTTTTTTATTCATTAGCTATGTGAAAACTAGGTTGTATACTGATTTGTAGAGTCACAAGCAAATTGAGCAGAGCAAAGTTATATGCTGTTTGAGCTTGGATTGTTCGACTTAGATGATTTTTGAGCTCTGCTCAAGCTCAAGCTCAATGACGTTGCGGTTTTGACGAAGGGCTTCTGGCTGTTGTAGTGAATAGTGATTTAGTCTCTCTCTCTCTCTCTCTCTCTCTCTCTCTCTCTCTCTCAGTGTGCTGACTGAACGTACTTTCTAGCTTCCTTATACATATTACTATATAAGATTTCGTGTACACTTCTCTCAGAGGTCATGTATGACAAGAAATGACAAAATCAAAATTTTTGTGTGCGCTGTTATTGGGCTGATTTTAATGAACCAAGCTCAGCTTGATCAAACTTGGCTCATTTAATTATTGAGCTATACTTAGCAGGTTTGGGTTTGGCTTGTCTATGCTAACGAAAAGCTGAACAAGTAAAGCCTAAACTGTCTGAATGGCATGGTTCATGCAGCAATGCTACTTTGATACAACAAATGAATTTATAATTTTGATAAAGACTGCAAATATCAGAGGTAATTAGATTATAAATTACATTTGTTGCTCTAGGATGTTGTCTGATTTTCTACCTTCTTATCCTTTTGTTTCTCCTTTGCATATGTTTCTCATATTAAGATTTTAATTAGGCTAAGCGTACAATGGGCTCAAGTTAGGTCATGGATATTTTTAATAATGATATTTTGTACCAGTTTGCTTATTGTTTTGCTTTGTTTTGTTTTCGTAGTGAAAACATCCTCCTTACTATTACACATGATCTTTTTTTTGATAGGCACAAGGGTGAAGGGGGTTTTAGGTTCTTCAAAAAATTGTGAAATCCCACTTTTTGCTTTAAAAATTTTTTACCCCATGAAATGCCTCCCCAAAGTCAATCAACCCCTCAAAATTTTCAAATGCCCACTTTGGACAAGGGTTGCCTATCAAAAATTAATGTTCTCCAAAAATTCTATCCAATCTCATGTTAAAAGTTGTTAGACATGATCCCACATCGCCAATCTAAGCCACCTAAGCTTGGTTAATATAATGTAAAGGCCTCTCCACTCATTGTCAATTGTTGCTTTAACAAAAGTTAAACTACATATTAAAAAACCTTGCAATAAATAAGGGATATAATTTATTTGATTTGCATGAAATCATATTAAACTATTTTTTGCTAAAAGCAATGAAATTTTGCTAGGAAAAATTGATTGGTCTCTTAGGGTTTGATTTGTAATTTTTTAATTGTACCATTTGTGAAGCTTTATGGGCTCAATGCGAAATGAGTCAAATTAATGTGTTACTAGAAAACTCTAATACCCTAACGAATTATGAATTAATATACATGTTTTGAAACATGATACACTTCTGTATGTGTTGTACAAGGAATGTAATTTTCTTGCATTTTCCACCATTCTCATACTAAAGGCCCCGTTTGGTAGAGCTGTGAAAAAGTGATTATAGATTATAACTTAACCAATTATGGTTTATAGCTGTGAATATAAGCTGTTAACCTGTTTGGTGTAGCTGTGGGATTATGGATTTAAACAGCAGAGTAGTGTTTGGTTAATATGTTGTAAAATAGTTTTTTACTGTATAATTGTCCTTTCTACTCTTATATGATATAAAAATGATTATTTTTTCATTTTTTTCAATTTTAATTTTCATTAATAAAAGTTAATATAATTAGTTTTAATTAGTATCAATTAATATAAAAATTGATACATTTGCTAAAAATGAATGGAAGTATTATTGTCACAATTATTTTTCATTATAAATTAATTAGTATTAATTAATTGCTTAATTAGTATCAATTAATACTAAAATTATTAATTAGTTTCAATTAATGGCTTAATTAGTCTCAATTAATACTAAAATTATTAATTAGTATAAGTTAATATTAATATTTAATTTTTATCAATATCAATTAATATTAATAATCAACAATTGTTATTAATTAGTATCAATTAATAATTAATTCATTACAAAAGTATACAATATTAATTTATTAATAATTAATGCCAATTAATATTGATTTTTTAATTAATATTGATTTTTTTCTTTTTCTTCAGAAATATAAAATTTTTTATTTTTTAATTAATATAAAAATATACAATATGAATTTATTAATAATTAATACCAATTAATTTTTCTATTAATATTGATTTTTTTCTTTTTCTTTAGAAATATACAATTTTTTATTTTTTAATTAATATTAATATTTGAGTATTGACGAGGGCATTTAAGTAATTTTAGCCCCCCACGTCAGCTGCACGCTTAAGTAAAAAATTTAAGCACCCCCTGACCAGCTTTTGAGATAAGCTGAGAAATAGCTTAATAATTTAAGCTATAAGCTGGTTAACTTAAGCTGTACCAAACACAATATTTTAGCTTAAATTAAGCTAAAAGTTGAAATAAGTAACTTATAAGTTCTACCAAACAGGCCTAAACGCGAGAAAAGTATAGGGTATGTTTGGTTTGAATTTCTAGAGTGATTTTGGAAAAAAAATTTTAGAAAATTTGTTTGGTTTGTAAATTTTCTAAAATAATTTTTAAAGTCACTTTCTCTCTCTTACCTATCAATCAATCACTTTTTCTCTCTCCTCTCTCCTTCTCAATCACTTTTTCTCTCACACACATCTACTTAATTATAACAAAATATCAAATCATTACAAACTCCCAAACTCCAAAACTACTTTCAAAATACACAACCAAACAAACCAAAAAAATTTCTAAACTCTCTTCCCAAAACAATTTTCAAAAACTACTCTCTCAAAAACAAACCAAACAAGCCCATAATTTTCCCCTTCTTTCCTTCAATTTTCACCAGTGTCATCCTAACCAAACTTAGCCAAAGAAAAAATGTCATCATGTATCTCTATGGGTATACATTATGGTGGGGTTTTATCGTTGACTTCCGAGGTTTGGCCACGTTATGTTGAGGTTGCCAAATTATTTATGAGATGTGAGTCAGGTATTTCAGGATTATGTTGTTGATTAGTTTCAAGTAAGAGAATGTGTAATATACCATTTATGTTTGACTAATTTCAATGGCCTATATTGAGTTACCCTGCAATTTAGTTTACTCAGCATTAGTCCCCTGATATTTTGGCTAAATAAATTTTTACATTGATTAAGGCCTCGTTTGTCAACTATACATTCTAGTTAAAAAGCTAAAAAGTCACTATAAGTTGTCACATTACTCTCTTTATTTTTCTGCACATCTTTTCGTAAAAAACAAAAAAGTTATTAAAATAACTTGTTTCCAAACGAGGCCTAATAGAAGTATGGTAGCAATGATACAATTGGTTACAAACCCATTTGCCAAATGAAGCCTAAAATCCAAAAGAATGTTACAATTGGTTACAAAAAAAGAAAAAAGAATGTTTTGTTGGATGAGCATTTGTCATGGTATGAAAGGCCCGCTTTAGTATTCTAAAATTGCAGAGAAGCTACCATTTGGTTTCACAATTTAAGGCCATTTCATTACACAGTTTACTTCATCAATCACTTCTTTGTGAAAAGATAATTTTCTTTTTCTTTTTCTTTCTTTCTCTCTATCATTCTATCCTTCTAAGTTATTTAAATATTGACATTAAAACAATTCATACAGGTTTGAAGAATTTGAATCTGACTTTTCATTCTTTGCATAGCTAAAGCCAACACTTCCAAGTAGCTGATCACCATTCTGCTTATCACCTCATCTCCAAACATCTTTGCCCTCTATTTTCTATTGGAGGCATAAATAAAATTCAGATTGATCTTAAGATAGTCAAAGTACCAAGTCAACGTTTAATATCCATCAACATATTATGAGCCAAAACAATTGACTAGAACTTCCTATATTGATTGATAATGGAGGTTAAATAGGCACAAAGGATGGTTATAGCTAAACTGGTTCCTTCAAGGCCTTCTTCTCCACTTTTAGGTCCTTTTTCGAGCTCCTAGCCAGTGCTATTGATTCCTCACCCTCTAATGCATGTTCTGAAGCTGCAGTCAGTGCCATTAGACCAAAAACTGTGAGGTTCAAGCCAATGGTGAACCACCCTCCTAAACTTTCTTCCCAGGTAATCACCCCCCTCCCCTTTTCTTTTGTTTTTGGCCTTCTGATCTTATATTTCAGGGACTTCTCTTTTGGAGGTTCTTTTTGATCTTTGTGTTGTCCAACAATTTGAATTCAGATGGAAAATCCACCGTGGTCTTTTTTGGACTTCGTTTTTGGCCTTCTACAGCTTCTTGTCCATTCAAGAAGGTGGCTAAGGGTTTGAATTCAGATGGAAAATCCACTGTGGTTTACAAACCGTTGGCGAAGGTTATATGAAAGACAACATTGTCTCTCTTGGCAAATTTGGTTAGTATTGATCCCTAGCATGTGATTGATTAGATATTGTTTCTAATTTTCCTCATAATCAAATGCTTTTGTATTATTTTTTACATTTGGATGATATGTTGGAGGAAACAGTAATATTAGATCTCTATACTCATTTTTTTATTTAATCTACAGTTCTTAATATAATTTTTCCTTTACATTTCAAATGCATTTCTATATATACATAGGTTTAGTTTCTTCAAAATAGAAATGTCGTTGTTGTGATCCACAATGAACGAAACTTCAATGTCCTCTGTGTTTGTGGGGTAAGCTCACTAATCAAATTTATTTGTTTATCATATTTTTACAATATGTGTGAAGTTTTTGCTTATTTTTCAAAAGGCAAAGGCAAAGGCAGAGGCGCATGCAAATGATTTTCTGTAAGGTTTTTGAAAGGTTGAAAGGTTTTTGAAGCTAGATTAAGCTGATTTTTTAGTATTTGACCTTTTCAGAGTCAAAATGGACCTGTGTTGTGCATTTATTTATTTATTTTTCTTTTCCTCATCTATTATTTTCTGATGTATAACATGGGTTTGATCTTGGCTCTTCCGTATGCTTATTTTTTTTGCTATTTCCTACCCTTCTATTTTCTGTGCAGTGGTGTAAGGCCTTTTGGAGTTTCACTGCTAGTTGTTGGCCAACCGTATCAGGGATGTCATTTGGGTCCTCATTCGGTATTGACCTTAATTGTGTTGGATTTCAGTTTTTCTTTATTTGTTTATCCATATTACTTCTCCATTTGACCCAATGTGCTTGTGTGCCTTGTTCAATGGTCTGTGATTTTAGAGTTGAACTATTTTGTGTAACATCTTTAGCTGAAGCTATTACTTTTGTACTCTTTATCTGCTACTTAGAAGATTCATGGAATATATTCACTTTGTGGCCTGAACATTAATAAAATGATTTGATCACGTTGATAAATCCCTAGCCAATATCACTACCTTAGCCAACAAACCATTATCTGCAAGAAAGAAAGTCAGAGAAAATAACAAGCAAAGAAAATAACGTATAAAAAGAGAGCTTAATGACTTCAAAATGCAATTCAATTTCCTTCCAACTTGTTTTGAGACTAGGACCTATATACATTCATTTAAGTTAATTGACAAAAAAATGTAAAATAATCAAACTTAAATAAATGCCCTTTTACCTATAAAGAGCACATTCAGTTTTAGTTGTTGAAAGACTACTGATCTAATGTGCTATCATAAAACAAGAAGACAAAGAAGGAAGCCACTAATGCTTATCAAAATAATTATCTACAATTAATTATATCTAAACAGGTTTTCTGCAACACTTTAAAGAAATTAATGGTTCTCTTAGTATACATGAGCAATCAACGCAAGGCCAAAAAATTACGAAACTAGACTCGTAACCGGTTCTAATGACACTGATTTGATAATTTTCAGATATATACCCAAAGAGAACAACACTCCCAAACTTACTATTTAAAACCTGTTTTCTGGACAGATTTCAACGCATCAGTTTATATGGATTTTGACTCTAAAAAATTATGAGAAAATTCAGATATGCAATTCAATATGTAATTAATCTACTGTAAAAATTTCAGTTCAAAATTCATTTGTTTGATATGGTTTCTTGATTTTTAAAGTTTGTGATTCTGTACAGAATTTTTGGACTAAGAATTACACCATTCATTATACATGAATTTAACTCCTCAGATTTCTTAACAGTATATATATACACAAATTACATACACCTACAACCTCCCCATCAATGAATTAAATCATAAAATAGAATAAGGATAAAGAAGAAATATAAAATAAAGAAGAAAGTTAGAACCCTACCACACACCCAAAAGTTCTTTGATTTCAACTTCTTATTTTTTCTTCTCTCAAAGTCTGCTGTGTTGTTGCCCTATGTGTTGAACAAATAATAGAGTAGGGTTTGTATTTATTTTATTTTATACTAGTGGTTGGATACACCTAAAACATGTGTAGGTCAAATATATAAATAAATATACAAAACATATATATAAGTTATATTCAACTCAAATGATAAGAGTCTTATATATTAACCTTGTGGTTTAGAGTTCAAGTCACACCCTCTTCTCTAATTGTTTTTTTAGGTTTAAAATTAATTAAAAGATCATTCAATAATAATTAATTTGCACTTTAGGATTCACCATCAAAATATTTGAGATTGTGAAATTATTATTATTTAATTTTTTTACTTGATTTGTATATTCGGGTTCTCACACCTAGCATGTGATTGATTAGATGTTGTTTCTAATTTTCCTCATAATTAAATGCTTTTGTATTATTTTTTACATTTGGATGATATGCTGAAGGAAACAGTAATATTAGATCTCTATACTCATTTTTTGATTTAATCTACATTTCTCAATATAATTTTTCTTTTACATTTCAAATGCGTTTCTATATATACATAGGTTTAGTTTCTTCAAAACAGAAATGTCGTCGTTGTGATCCACAATGAACGAAACTTCAATGTCCTCTATGTTCGTGGGGTAAGCTCACTAATCAAATTTATTTGTTTATCATATTTTTACAATATGTGTGAAGTGTTTTGCTTATTTTTCGAAAGGCAAAGGCAAAGGCGCATGAAAATGATTTTCTGTAAGGTTTTTGAAAGGTTGAAAGGTTTTTGAAGCTAGATTAAGCTGATTTTTGAGTATTTGACCTTTTCAGAGTCAAAATGGACCTGCGTTGTGCATTTATTTATTTATTTATTTTTCTTTTCCTCATCTATTATTTTCTGTATACCATGGGTTTGATCTTGGCTCTTCCATATGCTTATTTTTTTTGCTATTTCTTACCCTTCTATTTTATGTGCAGTGGTGTAAGGCCTTCTAGAGTTTCACTGCTAGTTGCTGACCAACGGTATCAGGTATGTCATTTGGGTCCTCATTCGGTATTGACCTTAATTGTGTTGGATTTTAGTTTTTCTTTATTTGTTTATCCATATTACTTCTCCATTTGACCTAATGTGCTTGCGTGCCTTGTTCAATGGTTTGTGATTTTAGAGTTGAACTATTTTGTGTAACATCTTTAGCTGAAGCTATTACTTTTGTACTCTTTATCTGCTACTTAGAAGATTCATGGAATATATTCACTTTGTGGCCTGAACATTAATAAAATGATTTGATCACGTTGATAAATCCCTAGCCAATATCACTACCTTAGCCAACAAACCATTATCTGCAAGAAAGAAAGTCAGAGAAAATAACAAGCAAAGAAAATAACGTATAAAAAGAGAGCTTAATGACTTCAAAATGCAATTCAATTTCCTTCCAACTTGTTTTGAGACTAGGACCTATATACATTCATTTAAGTTAATTGACAAAAAAATGTAAAATAATCAAACTTAAATAAATGCCCTTTTACCTATAAAGAGCACATTCAGTTTTAGTTGTTGAAAGACTACTGATCTAATGTGCTATCATAAAACAAGAAGACAAAGAAGGAAGCCACTAAATTGGCTTGCAGTGAAAGTTGCCTAAAATTAGAAGACACTGCACCATGACAGAGGCTCAGGAATTTATTTGACATAGTTTCTCATGATACATAATAAATTCTAATGAATGCCTAACCTTTATGTTGAGACACAACTTCTGGATAACTGGATGAGAACTGTTTTTACAAGTGTTTTAGGAGGGAAAAACCAAAGCAAGGAAGGTCAAATAGAAAATGACATTATCATTAGGATTAAATAATGTCTCACATTATTTAAAAGTTAAACTTTTAATAGACATAAATTTAACTCCCTATTGAAGATGAGTACACAAAGTTCAGTGAAATGCCACTGTTAGAGTTATCTGTTAATCTCCCATGATTTTGTAGAATGATGAACCAGTCCATGAGACCTGCTTGCAGTTCTGTTCTAGACTCTAGTACTGAATATCCAAACAAGGAAATCATAATGCACAACTCTACAGCATTTATATGAATCAAACACTGCAAGGTAGTTCTTAGATAGCTGGAAGTCAGTAATCAACGGACATTTCATTTTTTTACAAGCAGAGAAACTGTAATAGGAGGCTCAATAATAAAAACATATACAAAAATTAAGGAAATGCATGAATCACATTTCAAATCAATTGGTAGCCCTGATGCAGGTTGGGAATTGGAGTAAAAAACGCCTTAAACTTAGTCGAAAAAGGCTGTTTGGGAGACAAATATAAAACAGCCCCCGAATCACTCTAGCTTCCTCGTGACAAATAGGACTTATGGGGACAGATGGGATGTAATTAGCACACGTAGGTTGGGAGTTGGACTCAAAAACACCTTAAACTTAGTTGAAAAAGCCCGTTCGGGGGGTAAAAATATAAAACAGCCCCTGTACCACTCTATGGATGTCACCGGTAGCTTCCTCATGACAAATAGGACCTGTGGGGACAGACGGAATGTAATTAGCACATGTAGGTTGGGAGTTGGAGTCAAAAACACTTTAAACTTAGTCGAAAAAGGCCGTTCAGGGGGCAAAAATATAAAACAGCCTGCGAACCACTCTATGGATGTCACCGGTAGCTTCCTTATTGCAAATAGGACCTGTGGGGACATACGGGATGTAATTAGCACACGTAGGTTGGGAGTTGGAGTCAAAAACACCTTAAACTTAGTCGAAAAAGGCCGTTCGGGGGGGAAAATATAAAACAGCCACCGAACCACTCTATGTTCCTCATTGCAAATAGGACCTGTGGGGACAGATGGGATGTAATTAGCACACGTAGGTTAGGAGTTGGAGTCAAGAACACCTTAAACTTAGTCGAAAAAGGCCGTTCGGGGGGCAAAAGTATAAAACAGCCCCTGAACCACTCTATGGATGTCACCGGTAGCTTCCTCATAACAAATAGGACCTGTGGGGACAGACGGGATGTAATTAGCACATGTAGGTTGGGAGTTGAACTCAAAAACGTCTTAAACTTAGTCAAAAAAGGCTGTTCAGGGGGCAAAAATATAAAACAGCCCCCAAACCACTCTATGGATGTCACCGGTAGCTTTCTCATGACAAATAGGACCTGTGGGGATAGACGAGATGTAATTAACACACGTAAGTTGGGAGTTGGACTCAAAAATGCCTTTGTCCCACACTTCAATTTTCTCCATTTTCAACCATTGTGAATCATATTTAATTGTTTTTCGCTAGCAAAAATTTTCAGTTGAGCCATGGATAACAGTATTAAAGGGTGAATCTAACCTATAGAATCTAGCTTCACTTCCTTTGCACGCACCAGACCACAACAATCATTCAAAGAAAACTTTGAAAGCCTTCTTTTAAGCACAAAAGTTCATAAAATATAGATGTTCATTTAGAGTTGATTTTGTGTTGTCCCTACTCTACATTTTATTATGTATTCTCTTGGTGATACTTGTTTGGGATTAATCTAAGATAAAGACAGTTTGGAATACGAAGCATTGTTAATTTGTTGAGTTGCTTTAATGCTTTATTTTTTTTTTTTTCATTCAAATGTCCCTCACGGGCTGTGATAATGTCATTAAATTCAGTCTAGGTGCTTGTGCATTATATTTTTCATTGGCAATCGGATGCCTTCTACATATTGAGGAAAACAAATTTGTAATTGACTATGGTCATAGAGACTATTGATTTTACTTCCACTACCATGCCTTTATTATAGTGTTGTTGTACTACAAGTTTTTCTCTGATAATTGTAGCATCTTCTTGCGGCCTATCCCATTTGATGAGACTTTAAGGCTTGGTTTGGTTTAATTGTAGCATCTTCTTGTAGCTGCTTATGTTATATGTGTGGGGCTAGTTTGCTTTCCTATAGGAGTAGGAAATATGTATTTGTATCTGTATTTTTTTTTTTTTGGCTTGATAAGATCTCTGTATTTGTATGTGTCTCTGAGGGTACTTTGAGGCTTATGCTATATTTGTTTTGTCCCTTTGTAGGTCGAACTTACTCAGAATGGGTAATAGACAGAGTATGATTGGCCTTCTAAATGCTGCCTATGTCATGTTGTGATTGAAGAGGGGATTGATCCTCAAACTACTCGATTGGATTGCTTGCGTATGGGATCATGTCGCATATTGTCAAACTTCATACATGCAAATTTTTTCTTTACATGCAAGCTGGCTGAACTTGTACTGAATAACATCTTGCCTCTTATTTGTTTTGTATGAAATTATTATTTGAAGTTGGAATATACTTGGTTTGTATGCAATGTTGACATTAAAAGTTATTCTCTTGTTTGGATGGTTATAAGTGAAATAAATGCAGATTGCGAAATGGGTGATAATATATATGTATTGTTTTGTTTGTATATCTGTTACACGTTGCATGGGATACATACAGGTTGTGGATAAATTAATTAAAATAAAAAAAAAAATCATAAAATGATGTTTTTGGCGACTAAACAATTGGTAGTTAAAAATGATGTTTAAAATATTTTTAGCGACTAAATAGTTAGTAGCTTAATCGCTAAAAAAGAATTAAAGGAAAACAAATTTTTTGGCGACTAAATATTTAGTAGCTATTTAAAAAAGACTTTAGGCGACTAATGATTTAGTAGCCAAAAATAAAAAAATAAAAGGAAAAACACTTTTGGCATTTAAATATTTAGTCGTCAAAACATAAAAATAATATGATAGGTGACAAATTTTAGTAGCTAATTAAAAAAATTAGACTTTAGGCGAATAGACTATTTAGTTGCTAAACAACAAATTGGGCTTCTGGTGACTAAACATTTAGTAGCTAAAAAAAGTTAGAAGAAGCAAAAAAGAAAATTCGCGACTAAAACTTTGGTCGCATTAGATACCTCAAGTTTTGGCGACAAAAATTTTAGTAGCTAAAAATGTGATGTTAAATTAAATTGAAAGCTTTTGGCGAATAACAGATTAGTCGCCAATTTAGCCTAATCAGCTACTAAATATTGTTTTTGTCGCCAATACATTGACTTTTGGCGACTAAAAAATTAGTCTCCATTTATAGGACTTTTAGTGACTAAAGATTTTTTAGTAGCCAGTACCTTCCCTGACAATCTTTCCGCGACAAATCCGGCGACCAAAATATTTAGTCGAGAAAGTTTTTCGGCATCTAAAATCTTACTTTTGGAGACTAAAAATTTAGTCGAGGCATTTGAGATTGAAATTTGAGTTGTGTTCCCCTTTGAGATTGAAATTGTGTTTAGGCTGGCTAAACTTATTCACACACTCTAGATTTTGAATATTTTGAGATATCTTTACTCTTGTTAGTACTTTAAACTATGATTGATTTTTCTATTAAGATGATGGAATTCATGACTTTGCAATTGAATTGCCTACATGAGAATGAAAGAAAAATTGTAAGGATAGTTTTTAAAATTTTGTGGATATATTTACTGCAAACCCTCACGAGACTATAACTCGTCCACTAGGGGTAACTTAGGGGTTTAAAGGCTTGTTGCATATGTTAAATGTAACCGAGAAACCTGCAAAAGTGGATTTTATTATTATCTGTGTTATTTGTAATTTTTGTTTTGCTCGAGAACTAGCCAAGTGTAAGTTGAGGAGAGTTGATAAGTGCCATAACATTACATATTTGACTTGCTAATATACACTTTAGTAGTCTGATAACAAGTACTATTTTATAATTTTGTGTGATTTTGAGTGTTTTTATATGTTTTGAGTGTTCTATATATATTATTATAAATGATATATTTTATAATATTATAATATAATATAAAGAAAATATAATAAAAAAATAAAAAGCCACCCGTTTGTTTGTTTCTATATATATATATATATGTACTAAATAAAGGAGTAAAGAATAAAAAATAAAAAAATAAACAAGAAAGAAAAGAGAAAGTTTCCAACCACTCTATTGACTTAGCTACGCAACTTTGCAGGTGCAATAAAATCATTTCCGTAGGCTCATGAACATAATCTTTGAACATTATCTCTGAATTGAAGATCGAATGCAGTTGAGGAAGACAAGAGCTAAAGAATGGAGACAAAGATAGAGGCGTGCGATCTGTTAATGGAAATCAATGCATCAAATTTCAACAATTTCAGCCTTAAAATCTCAATAATACCAACTTCTAAAGATTAGACAGCTTTAGGAGTGTGTAGTGAGCTCTATAAATGAGATGAACTGAATGTGAGAAAGGGGGAGTTTTTGGAGGAAAAAAAAAAAAGAAAAAAAAAAAAGTGGAGCTCGATCTTGTATTTTGGTGTAATTTTCTCCTTTTAGTTGTAAATTTTATTTTCATGTTTGATTTTAGTGTGTATGTTAAAATAATTATGAGTAGCTAAATTATTAGCGAAGGTTAAGGATGAAGCCTCTTGTATGGTAGTAATTGAATACGTGATCCAATCATATTCTCTAAATTTAGGTTTTAGTGATTAATTGTTCCCGTCTCTTCTAAATTAATTCAGTAATTTTTTGATATGAATTTAATTCGGTTTCTTTCATGATTTGAAATTTTCGAGTTAATTTACTTGCCTTGATCATATCTCTATTAAAAATCAAATATCGGATATCTATTATGATTTGTTGCCAACAGATACTTTAGATGATTTAATTTTGAATAATTTGGCGAGGAAGAACATACATAAGATTATTATTTTAAATGAACTAAACGACGATATCTTCCATAATAATTAGGATTGAATTCTGAATTATTGTGTTGGACATTAAGGGAATTGATCAGATTATGTTATTTGATTATTATTTATATTTGAGTGTGGATTCTGAAACCTTTAATCGTTGTCAAGTACCATTGAGTAGAGATGAACATAAGCCGGGTTCAAGTCTAATCTTATCATGTGAAGCCCGACTACTTAACTTGGTATATGAACTAATAATTATTTTATTTTATTTTGTCTTAAAAGTAAAATTTTATCATTTTTAATTTGATTCTACAATTTGATTTGATTTTATTTATCATTTTCTTCCCATGATTCCATCTAAAATTATGATTTTAACAACCTTCACTACTAGGGGACTATTCTAGGTGAGTTACCATTCCTACCACTGGGCTGTGTTTGGCTGATTATTTGCTAATATGTGACAAAAAAAAAATTGATAAATTTGTTCTTGCTCATGCTTTCTTTTATAAAGAAAGAAAAATGATGCAGACCATTAATTAGTAGTAGCACTAGCGTACATGTGTTTTGGGTCTTAATTTTTATTTATTTATTTATTTTTACTTATCACATCATTAATAGTAATGTTAATGGTAGAAATTTAGTGGTATGTAACATTATTGATAAAGAAATTACAATTCAACGCATGTTTTTACAACAAATTTTAAATTAAAAGTAAACGCGTGGACCTGTTCAAAAGGAAACGCGTATTTGCAATAACCAAGAAAAAGCCAAGAAGCAGAGCAAGCAGTGCTCCTACACAGCAGTGGACCTTCTCGCTTTCTTTGAAGAAATTCGTGGAAGTTACAAAGAAAATTTGTTGTTTGTCTGTACCAAATTGCTTGCAAATAACGCAAATTTCACATTATAAAAAAGGCCACAGAGATCCTAGTTTCTACTTGTGTTTTCAATTTCCCAATTTTATCTCTCTCTACTAATTCCTTATACCAAACAGTTAAACAATGGCTTCCTCCTCTGTTCCATCTTCATCTCGACCTCGATACACATACGATGTGTTCTTGAGTTTTAGAGGCGAAGACACTCGCGACAACTTCGTCAGTCATCTCTACACTGCGTTGACTCACAAGGGGATTCGCACCTTCAAAGACGACGAAAAGCTCGAGAGAGGAAAATCGATTTCGCCGGAGCTCCGGAGAGCGATTGGAGGATCGAGGTTTTCGATTATAGTTTTATCGAAGAATTATGCTTCTTCGAGATGGTGTTTGGATGAACTTGTGGAGGCACTTGAATGCAGCAACACAACGGTTTGTCCGATATTCTATCATGTGGATCCATCAGAAGTGAGAAGGCAAAGAGGGAGTTTTGGGGAGGGATTTGATGAATTGGTTTCCAAACAGGGAGTATTGGGGATGGAGAATGTTCCAAGGTGGAGGAATGCTTTGGAGCAAGTTGCCAATTTATCAGGATGGCCTTACCCCAGTGATGCAATCGTCAGGTAACTGATAATTAGATAAAACTTGTGTAATGATATACATCTCACAAATTCTTTGAATCGTTAGGTAACTGATAATTAGATAAAACTCGTGTAATGATATACATCTCACAAATTCTTTCAATCGTTAGGTAAATGATAATAGTTAAAACTTGTGTAATGATATACATCTCACAAATTCTTCCAAAATAATGTGACAAAATTGGGCATATATCATTAATTGTGTATCATTGTGGGTAAACTGTGACAGCATATATTCACTTTTGTGTCAATATATATGTTTTAAATTTCATACTGATATTGATCTTGAAACATCTCAAAAAGTTAAATTCACACATATCAATTTTGTTAAAAATAGATTTGTAGAATTAAACTTAAGAGATTTAAAAAATTAAAAATTGACAGAAATTTGGTGATGAGAGACACATTTCCTCAATGTTTAATAGTTATGACAGAAGGCACTATGTTTAATCAAAATCGACAGAAGGCACGATGTAAATAATTTTAAGATTAAATATATATATATATATTTTCTTAAATAATATTATCAGAGTAACATGTTACCGTGAATTAAAGTAACCGTCAAACAGATTAACATGTTAACCTCAATTTCGATGGCAATAAATTTTTTTTTTTTAAAAAAAAATTTCATAATCAACATGAATCTTATTTGATAAATCTTGATGAGAGGATTCAAAAAATACTAATCAGTGTGTTTGGTTTTAATTTTTTAAGTTCAATTTTTTGAAAATTTAGTTTTTTATTTTTCGTGTTTTTTTAATTATTTTTAGTTAATATTTTTAAAATTTTAAATAATTTTTTATTTTTTTAGATACACCTTACTTAGATGTATTTAAATAAGAAAATATTTGTGAAAAAAATATTTTAAAAAATTAATAAATATACAAAAATATAATAAATGTACTGAATTTTCGTATTTTTTTTTAATTTATATTTTCGTTATTTAGTGAATTTTTTAAAGATTTTTTTTCATAAATATTATACTTTTTAAGTGTATTTATGTTAGGATGTCTAAAAATTAAAAAAATTGCTTAAAATATTAAAAAAAATTCAGTGAAAAAAAATATATGAAAAACGAAACTGTAAAATTTTCTAAAAAGTGAATTCTGGAAATGGAAACCAAATAGAGTGAAATTTATTAAAAATCAACATTTACATCAAAAGTTATATTATTTTAAAATTTAATATTTTGATAAAAGTGATATGTGTAACTTTTCAAGAAATACTTTTTGTGTTTATCCTTAATACATTAAAATTTTATTATGAGAAAGTATTAACAAAATCTCCAAAATTATTCTTATCACTGTTTATGAACTTACCAATCAGGAAGTGCTATGTCTCCCTGTAACCATCAAAGTTGACCTTTCTTTCAGAACACTTTCACCAATTTTTCCTTATGTTTATGCGGATATAATTATAAAATTATTTAAGAAGAGGTTGCAGCATATGCGATGCAAGATCTAATTAAAAAGGAAAAAACAAAAAAGCATATTTGATTTGGAAGCAACTGAAATAACTCTATAACATAATTTTATATGATGTTTAATATTATCATATTCAAGAAATAATAAGTTTGACAGTAAAAATAATGATTTAGGAAACATTATAATATGTGTGTAAAAATAATGAGTTAAGAAACATTATAATATGCGTGAAATAAGCGTTTTCAAGTTTAATGACATTAAAGAAAAAGAAAATCATCATCTAACCTTTGTGTTTGTATCTAGGGTTTGTTTGGACATGAATTTATGGAGGAAAGAAAAAGATCAAAGGAAGGGTGAAAATTTTTTACTTATATTTTATTTACATTTCTTGCGCTCTTTCCTTTTCCTCTACAAATCCGTACCAAACTCATAAATTCCAAAAACAACTTTGTCTTAAAGTTGAAGGGCTAGAAATATAGTCTAATTGATTTGATGCTGTTTCTAGCAGGCTAAAATTTAATAATCAAAATCTCTTCCATTGCTTGTTTATTTAAACTATTTATGACTCATAAGATGTAAACATAAGTTTCATCAAACACTCTTACACAAATTTTTGAAATAAAAAATACTATAAACGACTCTATAAATAGAAATCTTCCTAAGAGTTTTTGACAACAAATTAGAGTAGAACTGAACAAATGTAGTTCAATAACTAGTAAAGTAGATCAATTGTGGGAAAATTTAGAAACCCAATGTGCCATTCAAATAAAGCAAATAAGGACTTTTCATGTTTTTCTTTTTATGATCATATCAAATACAGGGAAACTATATTTACATGTGCTATTCAATTGCAATGAGTAAAATTAATCACCATTTTACCAAACTAATGACAGTTTTCCTTCTTATAGCTCTTTTGAGTTTTGATGAATAAATTTATTACTGCTCCCCTAAATCTGTATAGGTCTGAATCAATGTTCATCCAAGAAGTTGTTAGGATACTTTTTAGAAAATTAATTGATACATATTCAAGCATTGGCAAAGACCTAGTTGGGATGGTTTCTCGTACGGAGAAAGTGATTGAATTGCTAGGTTTAGGGATGCATGATGCTCGTGTTGTAGGTATTTGGGGAATGGGTGGAATAGGCAAGACTACTATTTCCAGAGCTGTTTATGATTGTATCTCTTGCCAATTTGAAGGTTACAGCTTTATTGAGAATGTTAGAGAAGTTATAGAAAAATGTGGTTTAAAAACTTTGCAAGAACAACTCATTTCTGAAATCTTAATGGAAAAAGATTTGAAAGTAAGAAGTAATGGTCACGCAGTGCATATGATAAGGAGCATGGTATGTCATAAAAAAGTTCTTATCGTGCTTGATGATGTGGATGAATCAATTGAACTCGAAAAATTGGTAGGAGAGCACGATTGGTACAGTTTTGGAAGTAGAATCATAGTAACGACTCGAAATCAACATGTGTTAACTAGATATGGCATAAAACATATCTATGAGGTTGAGCAATTAAGAGAAGATGAAGCTATAGAACTCTTTGAATCGAAAGCCTTTGGGAAACACCGACAAATGGGAGGCTATGGAGAGCTTGTCCGTCATGCAGTAACGTATGCTAACGGAATTCCTTTAGCTCTCAAAGTTTTGGGTTCTTTCCTTTGTGGTCGAAACAAAGATGAATGGGAAAGTTCATTAAACAGATTGAAAAAAAGCCCTCTCAAGGAAGTTCTACAAGTACTTAGAATAAGTTACGATGCATTGGAGTCGGAAGAGAAAGACATATTCTTAGATATTGCATGTTTTTTCAAAGGGAAGGACGCAAATGATGTAACAAAAATACTAGAAAGTTGTGGCTTCGACCCAATTATTGGAATACATGTTCTTGTTGATAAGTCTCTTATAACTATCTCAAGCAATAAGCTGTTGATGCATGATTTGATACAAGAACTAGGGTGGCATATTGTTTGCGAGGAATCACATAAAGAGCCTGGAAAGCGCACTAGGTTATGGTGTGATGAAGATATAAAACATGTATTGATGGACGATACGGTAAGAGGCCTTATAGAAAAGCATGAACACTCAAAAATTGTTTAATTAACAAAAGCTAGCTGTGCATAATTTTGTCAATCTTCTAATATTGTGTTCTTGTTATTTGCTTGTGGTTATTAGGGAACAAACAAAGTGGAAGGCATAGTTATGCAGTATAGTTACCTAAGAGGTCTAGATCCAAAGGACATTCGGTTTCTAAAACAATTGAAGTTGAGGCCTAAAGCTTTTGCAAAGATGTCGAACTTGAGGATTCTCAAAATTTGTTGTATGCAACTCTCAGAAGAACTTAAATATCTTCCTAACAAGTTAAGGTATCTTAACTGGTTAGGATACCCTATGAAATACATGCCTTCAACATTTCAACCAGAGCATCTTGTTGAACTTCACTTAACCTATAGCAACATTGAACAACTTTGGGAGCAAACAATGGTATGAATATGCATTCTCTTTAATTACTTTGAATAAGATGCATAGTCCGTGACAGAATATAATTTCCGTAATTTATTTCTATATAATTTCTGTAATCTATTTGTATTTATATTTTTCTTCAACAGAATCTAGGCAAGTTAAGGATCATGAATCTTAGTCACTCGACATATCTGATGAAGAGCCCAGACTTCACAGGGGTCCCAAATCTTGAAAGACTGATTCTTGAAGGTTGTACAAGTTTGGTTAATCTTCATCCATCTATTGTAGATGTCAAAAGGCTTATTTGTTTGAACTTGAAGCACTGCAAAAGTCTCAAGAGTCTTCCGCGTGGCATTCAATTGGAATCCCTTGAAGTTTTTATTGTTTCTGGGTGTTCAAAGCTTGATAACGTTTTGATCAGCTTGGGATATATGAAATGTTTATCAAAGCTTTGTTTAGATGGGACTAGTGTCAGTGAACTTCCACCTTCAGTTGGACATCTTACCAATCTTGGTTTGATTAGTCTGAGCAATTGTGAAAACTTGAGAAGTATTCCAGACAGCATTTGTCAGTTGAAAGATCTTAGAACTTTAATCCTTTCTGGTTGCTCCAAACTTGACAAATTGCCGCCAGACTTGGGTGTTTTGAACTGTTTATATGAGCTTCGTGCAGATTGGACTGCAATTAGACAACTCCCATCCTCCATTGGACGTCTGAAAAAGCTTGAAATACTAATGCTGAAAGGGTGTAAAGGAATATCATCTAATTCCATGGCTTCTGAACTAGCAGCAGCTTTGTCAGGGTTGAAGTCTTTACGAAAACTAAATCTTGGTTACTGTAATTTAAATTCCATGGCTTCTGAACTAGCAACAGCTTTGTCAGGGTTGGAGTCTTTACAGGAACTAAATCTTAGTTACTGTAATTTAAAATCTATCCCCACAGCCATTTGTAACATCTACTCGTTGGAATTTTTACTCCTAAGTGGAAACAATATGGAAAGTTTACCTGCAAGCATGAATCAACTTTCAAGTCTATTGGGCTTGTTTTTGATTGATTGCAAGAAGCTTCAAGAATTGCCAGAGATTTTACCTAATAGAACACATAGCCTAAGTGTTGATGATTGCCCATCATTAAGGACAATATGGATTCCATCCGAAACTTTTAGTAATGTCTCAGTGTCCTTCAACAATTGCTTCAAATTGGCTGAGAATAAGCAAAACGACATCTTGACAGAAAAATTTCTTCCAAACATATTTCAGGTTCTCTCTCTTTCTCTCTCTGTGTGTGTGTGCGTGCGCGCGCGAAGCGGTGACTCTACTCTTTAACTAATTAAACACCCTAATTTTTTTTTTTTTAATACTAATACATATGTTCAACAAGTTCACTCATTGCAATTTTGAATACCCAGTCACTCCTACTTTGAACACTTTTTTGAATTTTAAATGTATACATATATATATATATATATAGGAAGTGCTTATCTGCTTGATGCTCATATTTTTGTTTTTTTTTTTTCGATTTTGCCCTTTGGTTTGGAATTATTTACTATTAGAGACTTGCATTTTAGTTTTTCCATCTTACCCTTTTATTATTTTCATTATTTATCAATATTGGTGTTACTAATTTGGATGAAAGCTTTTTCAGGCTCATATTTATTTATTTTTTTCGATTTTTCCCTATGGTTTGGATATTTACTAGGACAAATTACAATAGCAGTCTCTATAGTTTAGGATTTGTGTATTTTCAATTGTGACACATTTGACCATGAATTTTGAATCTTATTTTAAATAAGGACAATTAAAAATATTATTTGCTCAATTTCAATGGCAAAGTCGTCAATTTGATAAAATATAAATTAATTTGATAAAAATAAATGTCAAAAAATATTTTTGAATTTTTAAAAATTATTTCTATCCACCAAAGATAAAATTATGTAAAATTAATAAATTTTTTGCACATTTATTTGTTTATTTATTTATTTTTATCAAATTAATTTCTATTATGTAATGGGTGGTTGCTTTTATTTTCATTAAATTAGTTTTTTTTTTTCAAAAGTCAAATATAGCGACAATTTTGACATCATTATTAAACTAATCCATTAAATCAAAAAATCTAAAACTAAAAACATTTCATATATTAAATATATTGATTACTAACAACCACCAATTACATAATAATCATCATCCAAACACATAATAAAAATTAATTTAGTAAAATAAATAAATAAATGAGTAAAAGATTTATCAATTTTACATAATTTTATCTTTGGTGGGTAGAAATAATTTTTAAAAATTTAAAAATAGTTTTTTAGCATTTATTTTTGTCAAATTAGTTTATATTTTATCGAATTGACTATTTTGTCCTTAAAATTGAGCATTGGTATCTTCAATTGTCTTTATTTGGAACAAAATTCAAAATTTATGGTCAAATGTGTCAGAATTGAAAAGTCAGACACCAAAGTGACACGAGTCCCAAATTATATGGACTATTAGTGTAATTTGTCCATAGATGGTTGCATTTCAGTTTTTCCATTCTACTATTTTATTTTGTATTATTTACCAATATTGGTGGCACTAATTTGGATGAAGATTTTTTTTCATATTTATGCAAAAAATCTTGGTCTAAAACATAAATATTTTGATTTTGGATAAATTACAAATATACCCATGAGGTTTTCTTTCCTATTTTGCCTTTTCATTTTTGTATAATTTATTAATGGTAACCTATAATTTGACTTTCTCATTTTATCCTCTTCTTTGGAAATATTTACCAATATTGGTGGTACTAATTTGAGTGAAGGGTTTTCGCAATAATGCAAAGATTCTTGCTCACATAAATATATCTTGGTTTTGGATAAAATACAAATACACTCCTGAGGTTTATTCAAAATATAAAATGTCCCTACAATACTAGAAATTACAACTATTCCTTATTGGAATTTTTAATTTAATAGAATAAATTGAAAAAAAAAATTGTGAAATTTTTTTTAAAAAAAAATATGAAAAATTTTATGAAAACAAATGAAAATTCATCTAAAAATAATTTTAAAAAATCAAATCAAACAAAATACTTTGTTGTAAGATATGCATTTTGTAAATATAAATTTATAACAAGAATAGCCTGTGTCTGGCAGGGTCTAAAAATATTTTTTTACAAATGAAACCAAATCAAAGTTTAACAGTGACGCCATATGATCATTGGCATGTAATATCACTATTCGATTATTCCATCCTAAAAAAATAATAACAATAATTCACTCATTTGAACTAAAATTTTATCTCATTTATTTATTTCATAATTGTACTTTATAATAGAAATTAAAATTTCGATCATATATTTAATCATTGATTCTATTCAATTTTGTGAAAAAACTAATCTTATTTTTAGAAAAAAAGTTCAGGTAGTGGAATGGAATAAAGTGCAATATTTTTTTTTCATTTTTTACGGAATAATTCTTTTTTTTACAATGCTTTTTTTTTTATACTATTTTTTGAATGAATCAAATATAAAATAAATATTTTCAAAAAATATCATATTATTCTATTTCATTTAATAAACTCAATAAAATGTTCATAGCACTGACCTTTTTCACTAGAGTATATATATGTCATGCAGGAGCACTGGCATTTGAATTCATTGTTTTCGTTTTTCTTTATATATATATATATATATGATAAATTATAATAATAGTTCCTAAAATTTTATATCCTTTTCATTTAAGTACCTATAGTTTGAATTTGTCAATTAAGCCTCTAAAGTGTTTAATTCGAATTAATTTAGTCCTAAAGGCAATATAAAATAGAACATAAGCCTAAGGTTGTGTTTGATCCTTGATTTAGAAAAGGACTTGAAAAGGGGAAGGGAAAGGGTGTAAAACGCATGTGAAATGTAATTATAATTCATTTATATTTTACCTATCTTTCATTTATCTTTCCAAAACTCTCCCCATATCCATGAATCAAGCACAGCGTAAAGGTTATAAAAAATTGTGATTAGGCCTAGATTTTAATTTATTATTAACTTAATTATCATCTACACGTGTGTTTTTATAATTAGTATATTTTTGACAACTTATGTAGGTCTTCTTCTATTTCTATTCGACTATTATTTATTTTTTCTAATACGTAATTATCCATTTTCTTTGATTTTCAGCTATTTTTAATATTATTTTATATTTCATTTCATTATTTTTTTTATGGTTCTGTCATTGTTTATAATTCGTCTAGACTATAATTGATTAGATCTATTTTTTTTATTATTAATATTTTTTTTGCTGATATTACTTCAAAAGATTCCCTTGGAGAGTTCCTTTCCAAGGATAAGGATAATTATATGTATTATTTTTCTATAAGACCTAATTGCTTAAATCATTAATAATTTTTTAAAAAATAATTATAAATTAATGATAAATTTATAAATAATCAAACCTCATTGGTGTATTTGTAATTTACCCTAATGATACTCGAAAATGTTTTAGATCCCTAATTTTGGAGACAAATTTAATAAAATGAAAATAATATGATTATCAGATTGTCCTAAATTTATAATATTTTTGTGGCTTTTTAGCTAAAAACTCACCTTCTTAATATAATAAAAAGTGAACTTTATACATATTTATTAGGAGAACCTAAGTGTAAGTCCTAATAAGTAGACTTATTATCCAATAGGTTCTGTGAGAATTAATGATATTTTTCTTTAGATATTATTAAAAAAAGTTACTAATTGTTAATTTTCAATGACAGTTTGAAAATTTTATCACAAAATATCACTAATTATGAGTTTTACTGACAGTTTAAAAAAAAAAGTCACTAATTTTCAACTTTCAATAACAGTTTGAAAAATTCGTCACGGAAAAACGTCACTAATTGTAAGTTTTAACCATAATTTATAAAAACCTTGACAAAAAAAAATCTCTAATTGTCAATTTTAGCGACACATATAAAAAATTGTCACAAAAATTATTTTTAGCAACGATTTTATTAAGACTGATTTTCAATAAGACTCGATAAAAAATTAAATCATACTTGCAGGACTTGTTAATAGTTTACCCAATTTATTACAAGTTGCTTCGTTAACATGAAGTGTATATATAATATTTGGATAAATTACAAATACACTCCTTGAGCTTTGCTTAAAATACAGATTGCCCCCTATAATTTGAAAAATTACAAATAATCACTTGTTAAAAATTTTTATTTAATAGAATTAACTGAAAAATAAAATTTCTAAATATTCTCTTATACAATAATAAAATTATCTGAATTATTAATTTAAATGTATTTCTAATAACATTAAAAACTATTAATTGACTTGATAATTTATTAACAAAATGAGCCATTTATTATGAAATTAGAAATTTCAACGGGTGAAATATAATTTCCAAAGCCACAAGGGTGATTTGTATTTTAAGCAAAATTCAAGGGTGTATTTGTAACTCATCTAAAAAAATAGATTAAATTTCTCTCATGTTCACTTTCAACATAAATTTGAGGAGCTCGTGGGGTCCATCACGGGTCATGTCTTGATAACCCAAATCGTTCATTTTGTAAGATTCTTAATGTATGTCATTCATGAAAAAAATTATGTCAATATGTAATAGTAACATTTTTATTTTATCGTATATGTCTGCAAAAAAAAATGAATAGTTTATTTTTAAATATATATTTATTGTTCATTTTTTTAGAAATAAATGTGATGAAATAAAAATATTATGATTATCATATTAAACTAATCTTTTTTTTTTTATGAATAATATAAATTAAAAAATTTAATAGTTTGAATTATTGATAGTAAGAATATACCTCTCACATTCTCCCATATCAGAGGAACCAAACCAAAGTTTAAATTAATAGATTAATGGAAAGTGAATGATAGATATAGGTTTGCGGGGTGGGACTCTCCGGCCCGGGTAGGTTTGGGGCAAGCTTTCCACATCAGTGGGGGAGTTTGGGTGTGTGTATTTTAATGGACCACTTCTCTCACTTGGTCATCAATTGTCCAGTGTGTGGAATGTGAATCTTTTTGTCAAAAATAAAAATAAAATAATAATAGATATAGATAAATAGAGGTGTGTGCGGATACGATTCAGATAACTTGAGAGTAAAATTGTAAATTAAATGGCGGATTAGCAAATTGTGATTTGAGAGGTTTTGGATGAATTGGCGAATTGAAGAATATTTTAATCAATTATCAAGTCTTTTCATAATATATAAAATTAATTGGAATAATATTTTTTATATATAAAACATAAACTAATTTTACATAATATTTTTCATATATATAACTACAAATCTGTAATAAATTTCATATATTAAATTTATCTTATGCGTATTTTTTCGAAGACGAATTATAAATTTTAGAGTTTAAACCGTGATTAATAAATAAAGTGGTGCAAATTGATGCGAGTTTGGCAGACTTAGCTGTATTTTTCACCGTCCTATAGATAAGTGTGAATTTTGTTTGTGTAAATTATACTTTGCCTTCTTTATATTTGATCATTTTCTCACTTTGGTTTATAATGGGTTTTTTTTTTTTTTTTTTTGTTTGACAATCCAGATTTCAAGTTTTTCTCACTTTACTCTTAAAGTTAATTTATGCTAAAAATTAGACAAAAAAATGACATAATAGTAATCTCGTAGCGTAAAAATATTTGATTATATATAACTCACATATCTGACATAAATTTAATGACTAATACAATATTATATTTTTTATATTATGTGACAGTTATTGTGGTATTTTTTTATTTAATTTTTAACAGAAATTAGTTTTAGGAGTAAAGTGAAAAAGATTTCAAGCATAAAGGGTTAATTTGTTTATGTCACATTACTTGTCTATATTTTTACAATTTTTTTTTTTCCCGGAGGCCCAGCCACTAATTGAGACCAATCTCTATTGTACAGAGAAATTTTCGTGCTCCTTGTGACATTGTTTTACCTGGGAGAGAGATTCCAAAGTGGTTCAGCCATCAAAGTAGGGGGTCTTCGACATCTTTTCAGTTGCCTCCACATTGGTTTAACGACAGGTTCTTGGGATTTGCTTATGCCGTTGTTGGATTCAAAGAGGCTAAATCGGACTATTGTCGTATTGAAATGAACTTCAAGTGCCACGTTACTCAGAGGATCATCGAAGAATGGGCTATCCACACTCCATTTGTCAAATTTGGAAATATGGTGGTTAGGTGTATCCCACGCGGTGCATTTTCGGGAATCACGGAAGATGATATGGAGCAATTAAATGAGGGTGGATTTGAATGTGAAGCTCATTTTTTTGAACTAATTCAGCTTTCTTCAATTGGAGAAGATGAAAACCTGGAAGAAGAGGTCTGCATGCCCGTATCCAAAGTAGAGGTTGAAAAGGTTGGTGTCCATGTTGTATATAGGGAAGCTGAAAAACAAACATTGAGTAGTAGTAGTAGTGCTACTACATCAAAGAGAAAACGCGACCTCGACCTCAACGACAATTACTACGATGCAGCGGCAGCAGGACCTAGTGGAAGTCCTAGAATTGATGATCAAGAGGACCACCTCAACAACCTCAACGGAAAAAGGCTTAGGTAAGTATATATCTCTTACAACTCAGTTACAGTTTCCTCCAAATAAAAATGTCATCAACTCACACTCCCACTGCAAATTATAAAATAAAATAGGAAATATCATTTTGCTTCCAAATTATTACGCGTTTTTCAATTTGACATCCAGCCTTAGCATTATTACTTTTATTTGATCCCTAAACTTCTTAAAATTTGATCAATTTAACCTCCACTATCTGTTTCCGTCTATAATCAAATAGAACTTGCTGACGTGGTATCAAACTTCATTTGGAACTTTATTTTACCCCCAAATTATACCTTAAAAATTAATTTGCCCTCGAAATTAAAAAAAAAAAAATTTAATAAATATTTTTTTTATCTCAATAGTGAAAAAATTAAAATTTAAATGATATACATTGCAAAAAACTAATTAAAAAAATATATAAATTCTTATTTAGAAGTTGCAGTCCCTCCGTACAGCCGAGTAGTTTCTTTGATGTTTGGGTTCCTCATGCTCCACTTGATTCAGTTGCCCTAGCTCCGCCTAATGATCCTCCATCAGGTAATCTATCTCTCTAGAGCTTGTTAAGTATTTTCATTTGTGAGAGTTTCTTACTCAAATGGTCTTACTATTCCTTGCCTCTGATAGAGTTCCCTTCTTTTTTCAGTGTTAGCCGCTACCAAGGTCTTGCCTTCACTTGCCTTCGACTCTGCTCTAACTCTCTTTGTGACTCCTTATGGCTCTCCTTCTCGAGAGGGCACATCTGCCTTTGAGACAATTGCTAGGGGCTCTTCATTGCAAGTGCCCGCGAATGTTTTGGATCTAAATCTTAGCGACTTCCATTTTGATAGCGATACTTTTGGTCTTTCCCCTCATCAGACCGCATTCTCAGGCTCGAGCTTTCTCCCTGAGGTTTCCCCTTTGTGTGGTTCATCTTACCCGATAGAGATTGGAGAGGTTCCTGAAACTAACAACTTCTCGGCCCCAGCTCCACCCCCGATTTCTGGCAAAATACCTTTTCTCCACTATTGGGTAGCTCCTGAGTTTGCCTCAGTTCTACAGCTTGTGCATTCGAGTTACCCTGAGACCTTTGCTTCCTTTGCTTGTCAATGCCCACTGATTCAAACTGCTCTTCTCGAGTCTTTTGGTACTATCCTGTATAGCTTGGATCAGCAACGATTGTGTGACCTTAACGAGAAGGTAGTTGAGACAGCATATCAGGGGATCTCAGATATGGAGTGTTATCGGGTAAATTTATCATGGCTTCGAAGGCGCTTGGATATAGCCTCAAATGCTAGTCGCCGGGTGGAGTTTTTGTCTATGCTTGGCTCTTATCAGACTTCTATAGATGAAACAAAGGCGACTCTTCGTGAACTTGAGGCTAGATATGCTCAAGCCTTGGCGGTTTTAGAGGAACACTCTGCTGCCTGTCCTCCGGATGTAGACGTGACATGCAGTTTTTTCGAAGGCATCTTCAGAAGAGATTGAGTTTTTTCGAGTATTATGTAGGTATGACTTCCTCTGAGTGCTTGTATGTTTCTTTTATTTATTTTTTGTTTGTTTGTTCCTTTCTCATTGTTTCTTGCCCCTTTCGATAATTATTTTTTTTTATATCTAGGACAATGCATTGGAATAACAAAGTTTTGGAAGGTTTCTCATTGTTTTCTCATTCTACTCGATAAAACATTTATCTTGAATGATGCAAAGGAAAGAACAATCACAAGCACATTTTTTATAAAAAAAATAAAAAAATTGAAGTGCTCTCAATAATTTCTCAACTTTCTTAATAGAAATACAAAATTTTCATCTCAAGTGATGCAACAGAGATATAAATTAGAATGGAAACCAACTTTCTTCATAACATAACCAAGATAAAACTTTTAGACAAAGTAAAAGAATGAAAGTGGGCATTAACATGTCACGTGACCATGTCTCTCACTAATTATAATTCATCATATCTTTTAATATTTTCAACTATTCAACACAAATTCATGAATCCTACCTCTTTCATAATCCATTAATCATAACTCTATTGGGCATCAACATGACTCTGTTAGAGCATCACGTGGCGCTGCCGTTGTTGGGGATTTGGATGACGCGGGAGTTCAAAGTGTTTGACTACTAGAATATTCGTGATAGTGAGTGTAGGGAGTTTGACGTGCCAAATAGAAAATATTTTTTTTAAAAAATAATTTTTATATTTGATGGTAATGGTGGTGAAAGGAAGGTAGTAGCATAGTGGTGAGGGGCAGCAATAGTAAAACGATGATGTTGGGTCGCGAAGTTGGTGGTGTAGTAGTGGTGGTGGAGGTGAAGGTGGAGGTGGAGGTGAGAGTGACAGTAGTAATGTGGTGATATTGATAAAATTTTAATTTGAAAAACATTTTTCATCTTTTAAAAAATGGAAAATATTTTCTGCCTATGAAGGCTTGTTTTCTGTTAATCATAAAAAATGTTTTTTTGTTAACTTTTGTTTTCTATTGTACCAAATACTAAAAAATATAGAAAATATTTTTTAAAAATATTTTCTATCTAAACAAACGGAACGTGAAAACAAAATGATGCAACAATGATACTATGAGGGTTTTTGGAATGATCTAAATAAATATATTTTTTAACATTTTAAAAAAAATATGTAAAAAAGTAGAGATGTGATATGATCTAAAAAAGATAAAATAAAACAATAAAAAAAAAAAACTATTTTATAGGGGATGCCATATCATTGGTACCATTATTTAATCATTTATTGTCTTTTATCTTCCATATATATGTGAATTAGAATTTGAGAAAATTATTAAACATTTTATCAGTAGTAAAAAATTAAAATACACAACAACATTATGTTTGAATTATAAATTTAGATATAAATTTAAAATAAAAAAATAAAAAAAAGTTGAGGTAAATAGTATGTATACTTATTCAAAGTCATGATATAAACACTGGTAAATTATTCTTTATTTTCCAAGTACTTACTAAAGATTAGTTAGCATGTCACCACTCATAAGGTTTTTAACTATGTGATTTATTTAAATTAAATAATATCACATGATACTTCAGAATTAAATGAGTAATTTCCCAAGAATTTTACACACAGAGGAAGGCCAATAAAAGAAATTTGGGAGAATTAAAATAAAAAATAAAAAAAACTCAAGAATTGATCTCGTTAACAAATTAAGTCTTAAGTTTTTAATTATTTTAATTTAAACCCTAAACTTTTAAAATAATATCAATTATAAGCATCTATTTAAGTTTTTAATTATTTTAATTTAAACCCTAAACTTTTAAAATAATATCAATTATAAGCATCTATTTGTGTCTGGACAATTTAGACAATTTAACCACTTATTTCCCTTTCATTATTGTTGACAGCTACCTCTCGCCTCTTATTGTTGTCCATCATCACACCTTATGTTTCCCAACCCATTGCCACCTCTTCATTCCTTTTTTCCTGTCTGTACGGGCACGAAATATTCTTCCCGTATAATCCTGTTGATCAAGATTGCGCTCCTCCGTACGTCGTCGCTTTATTCCCTGAAAACACAAACGTGAGCTAGCCGGTGGGTGTGTGCCGGATACCTCTCCGATGCCTAAGTCAGCAAAATAGACAAATAGACAAAAAGCTCTATGTATTCGAGAATCAAGAGTTGTGTTACCTTTCCATAGGTGATGTTGTGAGCTTTTATAGGTTCCGCGTGGCATAATCCTACTAGGACTCTTACGCCTCCATGTAGAGTCCTCCTAGGAGTCATACTCCTGAAAGATAATGCTTATTCTTCTGTACCCGCCTCACTGCTTGAACCAAGTGAGATGGTTTTACCATGGTCGAACTCCAATATGACCAAGGTAAGCATGACTATACTGAGCCGCAGAGTAGACCGAACTATAACTAGTTTGGTTCTTCCTTTCACTGCTCTTATGTCAGCTTCTCCCAGTGCTAACCATGGTATGTTTCGACCGGGATAACCAATAATGTGGTTCCGACCGGGATAACTTTGTGTGTGACGACCGAGCTTACCGTAAGCTCTTTGGGACCGGAGTAACTTCAAGCCTCATTTAGGACCGGAGTAACTTTATGCCTCCTTTGGACCGGAGTAACTTTATGGCCTTTTTACTCAGCCCTTCGTACTGTGGCCCATAACGGCCCATTACCCAGCTCGGCCCAATTTTCATATAAATTACCCTCTCAATTGCCCCTTAATTCCATCTGCACAGCATGATAGGGATTACATGTTACCAGCTGAGTTAAAAAGTTTCAGCCTTCCAACCGAGCTATAAAGCATTAGTCGCACAACCGAGCCAAACACTTGAGCCTTTCCATCCGAACTAAATTTACACCGGGCTCTACCTGTCTGGTCATAACGTCTCTTCAATCACAGCCACTGAATCGTTCCCCCTTCCCATGGCACGTGGCCCACTCTGATTGGCCCAACGCAGTTGTCACACCGTCTTCGTACTTCGTGCTTTTTGAACAGTCCCGCTCTTTTTGTCCTGCCTTCTACAAAATAAGCTCTTCATTTCGAATCAACCATTTACTATTCAAGTTCCTTCTCCCTCTCTTCGAGCCTCCATTGTTCTTCCAACCTTGCAACTATGAAACTCGTGTCTGTGGCTGTTTTCTACTTCCCCTTTCCTTTCTTTTCATCTGGTAAGCTTCACTAATCTGTTCTATTTTTCTTGTTTTTGTACTTTGTTTAATCCATAGCATATTGTTGGTGTTTTTACAAAACACATTTTTGTTTTTCCTTGCGTTTTCTAGGAAAAACGTCATAAGAACCACTTGTATTTCATGAAGCAGTCTGTAAAATACTGTATTTGATCCAAAATCACAATATAACCGAACTAAAAAGTTGTTTGTAGTTGCTGTGAATCTTAGTCAGACTTATCCAACCGAACTAATACTTCATGCTATACCAGTAATTTCAACAAGTCAAACCATTTTTTCATTTAACTTAGCCTAGATAACAAACCGAACCAAGTCCGCAATTAGTGTGTTTGAAAGCCTCACTTCCGATCGAGCTATGTCTTGGGGCCAAACCAGCGCTCTTAGTTTAGATCAAACTAAGAAAACTGCCCCTAGAAGCTCAACCAGTCTTAACAAAACCTTCATTCTACCCGAGCTATCGAACCGCTTACCGAGACCGAGCTAACAGACCCTTTGCTCAAACCGAGCTTAAACCCGTAGTATGCCACATAGCCGAGCTAATGCTTTATTTATCTTGCCTTTGTTTTCTTTTAGCACGGTCCCATGGTCTGTGCTTAACACCTTTGTTTTTCGCTTTGCAGACTTAGGTTGTCCAGGCACTCCTTTGAGCGCTCAACCGAGCTACACAGCACAAATCTTCGACCGAGATAGCACTCGAGTTTAATTTACCCATAACTTAGATCATAAATGGGAAAGCATAGGTTTTTAGTTAACTCTCCTGGTGCAATAGCTGAATTTCGCAAGGACTACCCAATCCCAGATGATGTCCACCTTTCTCTAGCCGAGCTAGACACCGTCTCCTGGGAAAAACAAGGTTTTGTCCCCTTTAACGTTATTTCCATTATGGAGTGCGGTTTACGCTTTCCTGTACAACCCTTACTCTGTGAATTCCTTAGACAAACCAACCTTTGTCCTGCCCAACTTTTCACAAACTCATACCGTATAATAAATGGCATAACCGAGCTAAACCGTCGGGTTGGCCTTAACCTCGACTTAGCCGAGCTCTTCCATCAATATTCCATAGGGTCAAAAGAAGACGGCTGGGTTTATTATTTAAGAATACGACGCCGCCGAGAAAAAATAATCAAAGATACCCCAGATAAAGATTTAAACGACGATGATTTCTTCTGGGTTTCTGGGAACTTCGAAGATCAAGAAGCCCAGATTCCTGGTGACCGAATAAACTGGAATAAAGGGACCACCGGTATAATTACCTCGGCTCTATTGCATGTTTTATTTTATCTCGGTTTCCACTCCCTGAAACGAACTAACTGTGTGCCTTCTTTCTACAGATTCAGCCCATCTTAAATCACTGTATAGTTATCCTAACTTAGGCGTGCTTCGCGCCGCACTACGATATCCCGAAAGAAGTTGGGCTAAGCTACTTAATTTTGAACCGACGTATAGATACCGCAGCCGACGGAAAGCCAGAGTAACAGACTTCTTGCTGGAAGCCTCTCCAGAACCGGATCCGTCCTTGCCTCAAATTAACTTGGTCAGAACTACCGCTGAACAAGAGATGGCAAAGAGGAACAGAGTGAGGGCCCTGCTAACCGAAACACAGCAAGCCGGTCTACCGCAAACCGGTCAATCCATTGAGGCCGTGGTAGCTCTTCCATCTCAACGACCCTCATCTCGTCCAAGCAAGCGTGCTCGAACTACCCCAACCGAGCAACGCCTTGTCGATGAAGACAAAACCAATCTACCACCAAGCCCTCCACCGAGCCTGGAACCGGAGCGCTCCGACCGGGCTAGCTCGTCCAAGTGGGTTCCCAAAATCACTTTCCAGAACCGAGCTATTCAGGACACTGACTCTGTGGTTGCTGAAAAAGATCACTTAATGGCATTCAACCTTGCCAAGAGTGTTTGTCTCCTAGTAGACATGGAGCACCACAACCATTTGACCGAGCTGAAGGCCATCCGCTCGGCCACAAAGTCCATGGTGCTTGTAAGTAGCTTCCTTTGCTGATTTTTCTAATTTGCCCAACTTTTATCTCGGTTTGGTTACAAGTCTTCCCATTCCTTCGCAGGCCATGCAGAAGAGTCACATTGCTCACAAGCGTGTGTTAGAACTTCGTAAGGCAACAAGGCAGGCCATGGCCGAAGTGACTGAAAAAACTGCCGAGTTAGAGCAAGCCAGGAAGCAGATAGCCGAGCTACAATCCGAGAATGGCCGTCTGACCGAACTAGTTAGCTCGGCGGAAGTAGACAAACAAAAGGCTGCTACCGTGATAAAGGATAAATATTTGCGCGAACTGGCTAAACTAGAAGGAGAGAAGAAAGCCGAAATTGAGGAGCTGAAGAAGAAGTTAGAGGATGCTGAAAGCTGAGGTTTCAAAGAAGGCGAAGCCTTGTACATCAAGTAGTGCGAAGCTGCGAAGGACCTTTTTTTCAAATGCGGGTGGAGGGCGGCCGTAACGCAGCTCGGTCATCAACCAGAGACCGAGGTCTACAATCCTCCACCATATTTTATACCGAGCTCAATGGCGGAGTATGCTTCGATCGTTCAACAATAATTTCTTGAAGAATCAAATGAAGAAGAAGAAACCGTGCCCAACGATACCTCGGTTGTCAATGATCCTGCTGATCAGTCAGCTCGGTTGGAGCCAGTGATGGAGAACCTAACTGATGAGCCGCCTGCTGAAACCGTGCTCCCAACCGAGACTGTGCTGCCAGCTGAAACCAGTCTTAGAGTTGATCTTGATGCTGATCTTGACGATCTATTTGCCTGACTTCGCTTTTCTTTTCAGTTTGCTTGATTTCTGTATTTTCTTCTGTTCGTTGGACAAAAGTTTGTAACCGGACTGAAGTAACATCCTTCTATACTTGTGAATTTTGAATGCATGCCTCTTTTGTTTTCAATACTTATTTCGGTTTGATCTGTATGCTTGTACTTGTAATGAGTTTTTAATGAAATCTTCTTTTGCTGTTATCTCGGTTTACTTTCCTGTTTGTGCTTGCTTTCTCACTACAGTTTGAACGAAACACAATATTTCCCGGCCGAGATACTTTACCCCGGTCATACCTGCCAACCACTCTTTTGCCGAGATGCCTACCTCGGCTGAAGAGTACTAAGAGTTGGTTTAATCTAGCCAACCACTCTGTAGCCGATATTCCTACTTCGGCTGAAGAGTGCTAAGAGTTGGTTTAATCCAGCCAACCACTCTGTAGCCGATATTCCTACTTCGGCTGAAGAGTGTTAAGAGTTGGTCTAATCCAGCCAACCACTCTTTAGCCGATATCCTTACTTCGGCTGAAGAGTACTAAAAGTTTGTCTAATCCTGCCAACCACTCTTTAGCCGGTATCCTTACTTCGGCTGAAGAGTACTAAGAGTTGGTTTAATCCAGCCAACCACTCTTTAGCCGATATCTTTACTTTGGCTGAAGCGTACTAAAAGTTGGTCTAATCCAGCCAACCTAGAATAAAGTGTTTGGTTATTCCGACCAAACGTCCTGCAGCCTGGATCCTTATCCTAAGCTTAGGAGGAGTGTTGGTTTTGCATCCAACCTCTAAGTTAGTTTTTCCAGCCAACCTAGAGTAAAGTGTTTGGTTATTCCGACCAAACGTCTTGCAGCCTGGATCCTTATCCTGAGCTTAGGAGGCGTGTTGGTTTTTCTAGCCAACCTCTAGATTGGTTTCTCCAGCCAACCTAGAGTAAAATGTTTGGTTATTCCGACCAAGCGTCCTGCAGCCTGGATCCTTATCCTGGGCTTAGGAGGGGTGTTGGTTTTTCCAGCCAACCTCTAGATTGGTTTCTCCAGCCAACCTAGAGTAAAGTGTTTGGTTATTCCGACCAAGCGTCCTGCAGCTTGGATCCTTATCCTGGGCTTAGGAAGGGTGTTGGTTTTTCCAGCCAACTATGTTTTCAATGCCCCTAACTCACTAAAACAATTTTTACAGACTAAAACACTTATGCTGAAAAGAAAACTACTTGTTTTATTGGGAAAAAGAAAAATTACAAGTATTTTGAAGAAAAGCTAAAAATAAAATAGTTTGAGATTGGCAATGTTCCATGGCCTGGGAATTGCTTTGTCGTCCTTATCTTCTAAGTGGCATGCCCTCTTGCCAGCTAATCCGACCACTTTGTAAGGTCCTTCCCAATTAGGCCCTAACTTGCCATCTCCTGGTGTCAAGGTGTTTCCCATCACTTTGCGGAGCACCCAATCTCCAATCTTGAATTGCCTTGGATGTACTGTTTTGTTGTATTTCCTGGATAACTCTTGTTGGTATGAGGCGATGTGAACCAGTGGTTTTTCTCTTCTTTCTTCGGTGAGGTCAAGTTCCAATGTTATGGCCTCTCCATTCAAGTCTGGATCAAAATTTTTACTTCTAAGTGTGGGGAGGCCAACTTCCAGTGGGATTACTGCCTCCATGCCATAGGCTAAAGAGAATGGTGTCTCTCCAGTTGATCGTCGAGGTGTGGTACGGTAAGCCCACAGAACATGAGGCAGTTCCTTAGTCCACTTGCCTTTTGCCTTTTCTAACCTCTTCTTCAATCCATCCAAGACAACCTTGTTTGATGCTTCTGCTTGGCCATTTGCTTGGGGATATGCCGGTGTAGAATTGTAGAACTCTATCTTGTATTCTTCACAAAAGCCTCTAAAGATTCTGTCGTCGAACTGAGTGCCATTGTCTGATATTAGGGCTTTAGGTATGCCGAACCGAGTGATGATATTCTGCCAGACGAACTTCTTCACATCTTTTTCCTTGATTGATGCTAATGCTTCTGCTTCTACCCACTTTGTGAAGTAGTCTGTTGCTGCGAGAAAGAACTTCCTGTTTCCGGGTGCTGTTGGAAGTGATCCTACTATGTCCAAGCCCCACATTGCGAAGGGCCATGGGCTGGTTAGCGGTAAGAGCTCTCTAGCTGGCTGATGTATTTGGTGTGCGAACTTCTGACATTTCTCGCACTTCTTCACATATTTCTCCGAGTTTACTTGCATGTATGGCCACCAGTATCCTTGCGAAATGGCTCTGTAAGCTAACGACCTTCCTCCCTGGTGGCTTCCGCACACGCCTTCATGTATTTCGAACAAGAATGCTTCTACTTTGCTGGGGTGGACACACTTTAGATAAGGTCCTGAGAATGACTTTTTGTACAATGCATAGATGGGGAGAGCAAAAATCGCTGTGACTTTGTTCTAATTTTGTTGGCTTCTTTCTTTTCTTCCGGTAAAACGCCGTCTTTTAAGAACAGTATGATAGGATTCATTCATGAGGGGCCTAGTTCGGCGCAACATACCTCTTCTACTTCGGGGTCCTCAATGCTTGGTCTTGGTAGGTAGTCAATTAGTTGTGGATGAGGGATGAATGTATCTGCCATTGAAGCAAAGCCTGCTAGTTCGTCTGCTCTGCTTTTTTCCTCCCTACCAATCTGTTCTATCCTAACTACTTCAAATTTCTTGATCTCTTTTCTGACTAAGTCTTGATACTTAGTCATCCTGTCATCCTTTGCCTCGTAGTCGCCTGAAATTTGGTTTACCACCAGCTGTGAGTCGCTGTAAACCATTAGCTTGGTGGCCTTCATGTAGGATGCTAATTTGAGACCTGCAAGAAGCGCTTCATACTCCGCTTCGTTGTTTGATACTGGGAATCCAAGGTTGACTGCTTGCTCCACAACCAGGCCATCTGGTGAGATGAGGACTATACCAAGTCCTGCACCATGCCGGTTGGATGCTCTATCCACAAAGAGCTTCCACATCTCTCCGACGAATAATTTCCAGCAAGTGGAGGGATCAAACGATGCTGTGGGGTCAAGAATGTCGCTGGTGTTTTCTTCAAGGTCCATACTTGCTGTTTGCCCCTTACTATCTGATTGAACCAAGTCTTTATTTGTTGGTGAGACTTGGCTTGGTGTAGCATGGTGCGCTTCTACTGTGCTCTCTTTACTCTGGTCTGCCTTGGGGTCCGACTGAGTATCCTGCACCAGGGGTTGTGCTATTCCAGCGTCACCTTCCATCCCTAGTTCGGTTATATTAGTCAGGTCGATTGGGCAGATATGATGACTTCCAGGAGTAAATTTTGCGACAAAGTCTGCCAAAGCTTGGGCCTTTATCACGGTTCTGGGTTGGAACTTGATGTCGAATTGTCCCAGCTCTACTATCCACTTCAAGATTCGCCCAGAAAAGTTCGCCCTCTCAAACAAAGCTTTTAATGGGAAAGCTATAAGGACGACTATGGTGTGGACGTGGAAGTAGTGCGACAACTTCCTTGAGGCCATCATTAAGGCCAAGGCCAATTTTTCCAGTGGCAAGTACCTCGTTTCGGCGCCCAGCAATGTTTTGCTGACATAATAAATGGGCAGATGTTGGATTCCTTCTACATGGACCAATACTGCGCTAATTGCGTGCTGAGAGACTGCCAGGTACAGGAAGAGTTCTTCTCTAGGTATTGGGGTGACAAGTAGTGGTGGAGAAGACATGTATTCTTTCAAGCTTTGTAGAGCGCGGTCGCATTCTTCGTCCCACTCGAACTTGGCTTTCAATGCTTGAAAAAATGGTCGTAGTCTGTCTGACAACCGGCTAATGAATCGATTGAGTGCAACTGCCATACCGGTGAGATGCTGTACTTCTTTTACTAAGTTAGGTCTCTCCAGATCCTGAATAGCTTTGATTTGGGAGGGGTCTACTTCTATATCCCGGTTGGTCACCAGGAAGCCCAGGAATTTGCCAGATCCTACACCGAGTGCGCACTTAGATGCATTAAGGCGCAACTTGTGCCTCTTCAGAATCTGGAACATCTTACCTAGGTCCCTTAGATGGTCGTTTTCATCCTTGCTTTTGACCACCATATCGTCGATGTAAGCTTCCATTGTTCTGCCTAACAACGGCTCAAACATCTTGGTGACCATTCTCTGGAATGTTGCCCCTGCATTCTTTAGGCCAAAGGGCATGACCTTGTAGCAATACAGTCCTCTTGGAGTGGTAAAGGACGTGACCTCCTGGTCTGGTTCGTACATAGCGATCTGATGGTAGCCTCTGTACGCATCCAGAAAGCTAAGTCGGTTGTGCCCTGCCGTTAGGTCTACCAATTGATCTATCCGTGGTAGGGAGAAGCTGTCCTTTGGGCATGCTTTGTTGACTGTCTTATAGTCGACGGAGACACGCCATTTGTCATTCTTTTTTGGCACCACGACTGTGTTGGAAATCCATCTGGGGTAGTGCACCTCTCTGATAGCTCCTGCCTCTAGCAGATTTCCTACTTCTTCTGCCACTATCTCGACGTAGTGGAGTGCCGATCTGCGAGTGCGCTGAATGATTAGTCTGGCGGATGGGTGGACATTGAGTTGGTGACAGATGAAGTTTGGATCAATGCCTGGCATGTCGTAAGGTGTCCAAGAGAACACTTCGATGTTAGAGGTCAAGAATTCCAAGACCTCTAATCTCTCAGTGCTGGACAACGACGAACCGAGCAAAAAGAACTTATCCGGGTTCTTTTCATCTATTCTTACCTCTACCAAGTCTTCCACCATTTTTTGATCAGCTGCTTTGCCGACATCTGCGGACAGTTCATTGCTCTCAGGTTCTTCCACCGAATGAACATATCCCTTGGCAGCGCGGCTGCCATTAACCGTGACAAAGCATTGCTTGGACATAATCTGGTCTCCAAGGACCTCTTCAATTACCCCGACTTCGTTGGGAAACCGCATTACTTGATGGTAGGATGACGCTACAGATCGCATGGCATGCAGCCATGTTCTTCCCAAGATTATGTTGTAAGTGGAAGGGACCTTTAACACTCAAAACTCCACTTGTTTTGTCACGCTTCCTGCCCTGACTGGAAGGATGATCTTGCCGACTGGCCACTCTGGCATTGAGTTGAATCCGATCAGGGGGGACACAGTTGGTGCCAAGTCTTTGTCCT